CCCCCCCCCCTTTTTTTAACGATTTTTCGAAGCCTTTTTCCACTTTAGGAAGACCGATTCACACAGTTTCTTCGTATTCATCGCAATATTCTCCATCTTATTTTCCAAATTCGTCATAATCTGGATTACCCAAAAATATCGTGAACTTTAATGGCTTAGCGCCCGATGTGGAACACAATGAGAAGCAAAGAAATGAAGACCGAAGATCGAGTGACGAGAGTGCATGAAGGAAGAGTTCAGAAAGGCGAGGTAGGATGCATGCAAAAAGCAGAAGAAAGAAAGATTAATGAGTATTGATCCAGATGAGCAGGAAACATGAAAAATTCACGTAAAAGTTGTCTTTGAGGAAACGAAGTAGCTCACCATTATGAGAACAATGAACGGAGTGTAAAAATACATAAAAAGGTACATGTTGGTCAACAAAATCTATGAGTTATTTGGGATTATACAACTTGCAAGTACCATAGGAGAGTTGCCTTATACAAAGTACGTTATTAGGTGAAAATGTAGTTGGGGGCTGCCAGCGTCCTTTTGTGCTCTGCGTCTCGTCAGTTCTTACACTATCTAATCATCTCACACATCCCGGAGCTCCTCCCCTTTTAGAAGTTAGGGAAGGAGCTCCGGGGTGGGTGAACCAATTGGATGTTCAATTCTTTCCCCTTCCCAGCTTTTTACTTGAAATAATCATCTCTCCCACCCCGGAGCTTCTCCCCTAACTTTTAGAGGGGAAGGAATCCATCTCTGCGATCTCTAATGCACTCTGCCGCCGGTGTCAGAGACGCAGAGCACAAAAGGGCGCTGGCACCCCCCAACTACATTTTCACCCGTTATTTGAATTAATGGTAAAAAATATTCGATCACAGAACAGCATACATTGTAGAGGATGATCAGCACTATGCGATCTACGGAAGCAAAAAGCGATACGTTTACTTGGGGCAATTTGACAGTAAATATGACCTAAAGAGACCTCTACGGGCTTGGGTGTGGCTTCAACTTACAGTCGTAAAATTGGGAAACCTGAATCCAAGACGACTCAAATATAGAGAACATGATAATTTGCGTAAAAAGAGAGTAGGTATTCAGAAAAACCTGTTGGGAAGTTGGATTAGCGTACGAATGACGGTAATAGTCACTTTCCGCGGCATATAAAGTCCCATACGGATTAGGAAATGTCGCCTTTTCAACGTATGTAGCTACCTCAGGATGAGCGTAAGGCACTGCGTATCCAATTCCCTATAATTTGCCAGAAGTATAGGGACATATCAAAAAGGAATGAAATAAAACTACATAATGGAAAAGACCTGTGAATTTTGAGGTACTGCAGCTTGATTCCACGCACCCATCGTGTTCGTGTGATAACCAGTGTAAGATTGGTTCGGGTACATAAGTGGAGTTCAACGCTAAAACCATACAGCTAGAACAAAAACAACTTTAAAAACGTGTTGCCTCACGGAAGCCGCCCAAATGACGCAAGGATCCTTTCCAGACGGATGATCATCAGTAAAACGCGATAGAAATTGCTATAACACACAATAAAGCACTATAGGAATGTAAACCAGGGATCGTGACCAGATAGCAAATCTACCGAGCACCTCATTGCGTGGCAACTGTCAATGGACACCCACGACCCTAGAGCTGACATTCGTTGTACTCCACCACCTTAGAAGACCCCAAAGATACACGAACCAGTGCCAATTGTTTTTCTATGTTCAAGAATCCTACATGGAAATTTTGCAAAAAAAAAGGTCCCAACGACTTCTTAACGACCTAAATTTTGAAACTGCACCTGAAGGAAATTGTGTGGGAATGCGNAGGTCCCAACGACTTCTTAACGACCTAAATTTTGAAACTGCACCTGAAGGAAATTGTGTGGGAATGCGTGCCTCTGAAAGATACAGAACAGCCCTGACAATCAGGCAATCACAGTTTTTAGCATTGGGTCACCTTTGCTTCGGTGTTTGAAACTTTTGAATTCTCAGGCCAATGATTGCAGTTTTATAAGACTGTTGCTATGTCTTGCTAGTTTCTAATTTTTTCAAGTTCTTCAAAGTTTTCCTCTGCATAGATGTGCTGTCAAAATTTTCCTCTCCATACGTGGTGCTGTTTTTTTTTCGTGGAAGCGTTTTTGGGAAACTGTAGGAGGTATTATTGTGCAGTTGTACAAGCTTGTTTACTAATCATTTAACATTGGGCCGTATGCTAAACGCCCAGTGTAGGGAAGGGGAGAGTCTCCCCGAGGAAGGGCCGTATGCATAACGCCCAGGGTGGGGAAGGGGACAGTCTCCCCATGGAAATGTTTGCGAAGGG